AACTTACAATATTTTTGACCCTTTCAATAAAATATCGAAAATATGATAAGCTTTAGAGACATCAAAGGCATAACTTTTATTAGGCCGAGTTTTATCTTTAATTTCGAGTGGTTTTAAAGATTGGCAAACATAAGGAGGTCCTGGTTTTAATTCAGCTACATTTACTTCATTTACCCCTAAATCGACATCTTCTTCGTCGAGATCATTCTCGCTTCCTATTTCTCCTTCAGCGAGACCTATGTAAGCCACTTTGTCTTTTCAAGGAAATTTCTCTATTTTCCTAGGAACCGATTTTTCAGCCTTAAGTTGCTCGATTTGCCTTACTTTCGTCTCTAATTGAGACATATCTCTTAGCTGCTGATTAATCAGTTTCTTTCTAATCGAGTACTCTAATCCACCTACAGCCATTTGGACTAGTTCATATTCTGGAATTTGGGTAAAACATCTTGACCTCATTTGTTGAAATCTACTCAGATAATCATCAATGAATTCATTATGCATTCTTTTTATATTGACTAAGTCCATTAAGCTAACTTTTTCTTCACCACGAAAGAACTGTTCATGAAACCTTCTTTCTAATTGATTCCAATTATGAATTGAATTCGGGGGTAAGGTTGTGAACCAAGTAAAGGCCCCCTTAGTCAAAGAACTAGGAAAGTACTTCAACTTTAAATCTTCATTTCGAGCTAAATCTCCACATTCTATGACATATCTAGCTATATGTTCTACCGTTGATTCACCGGAATCTCCGACAAATTTAGTGAATTTCGGGACTTTCTAGCCCCGAGGCAGTTCAGCCTGCAAGATTGCCTCAGAAAATGCTGAGACAAAATAGGGTCTATTTGCATACCCTACATCGAACCCATGTTGGTTCAATACTTGCTCGATAACATTAGCGATATTTTGGGGATTCAGGTTGTTTAGATGTTGAATTTGATGCCCCCTACATTATTTTGTCTAATTTGCTCGAGTATTTCATCAGCATTCTGATTTCGAGCAATAATAAAGAGTTGATTTCCCTGAAAATTACCCTCATTTTGTCTCGGAAGGTTTTGGTCAAAATTTTGACCAATTTGCTCAAGTGGAGCATTTGGATTTCGAGCAAAAACTGGGGGTTGGTCCATCTGGAAATTTTTCTCTTTTTGTCTCAGAAGATTTGGACCAAAATTTGGTCTATTTTGCTAAAAAATTTGACCATTTCAACCAAGATTTGTGGCATCTCGATTAGGTGTTTGGACACAATTTTGCCCTTGCCTTATAGGGACTTGAGGTGCCCAAAAAACGTCAGCAATTTGATGCATTTGTTCAGCCAAAACTTGATAGCTGGTATTAGTCGTTTCCACTATGGGATTCAACACAGTGGTCATCTGATGGGTCAGCATATTGACCATCTCGTGATTGCTTTCATCCATTTGTTGCCTCATGGAATGTAAGACAACATTCGAAAACGAGCTAGCAAGAAGTGAATCCCCGCTTGAAGCTCCAAACGCAAATTGCGTTCCAGGTACTCCGCCAATCGTACCCATTCTCAGTGGAATAGTATGAAGTATACCCATTCTCGGTGGAATGATGTGACTCTGGGGTGGCACGGTTGTCACCACAGGATTGGAGTAGGTTGGTACTCCAAAGATAGGCGGCATAAACATAGGAGGTAAGCCAAATGGATGATCACCCAGCCTTGGCCTTGGGTCAGGATTTATGCTGGGATTGGTTGGTGGCATAGTAGCCATAAATTGGCTAACTACGGGAGATGACGACGTAGGTAACGCCATCGTTGATGTGGGTTGTGCGGTAGTGTTAGCACCGCCACTTACATTGTCTGGGTTGGTATCACTATCGTCACTTCTAGAATTGCCATTCCCAGAACTAGAATCATTATTTCTTCCTCTATTAGCCATAACACAACACTGTTACGTAATATCATGCAACAAAGCAATCAATCATTCAAAACACACAATATATGGTCCCACTGGGCGTGCCAATTTGTTTACGGTGAAAAATGACAATTGTAAACAAATAATCCAAAGATCAATCTGGAGACTGGATTAGGTCCTCTTTTGGGTTCTTTTAAGTGTGTTGTTAACGTGATGCTCAAACTAACGGCGTAAAAAGAGTATTAAGCAATAATAGGGAATAGTAAACGTGCAAAATTGAATCAAACGTAGAGGTTCTTTACAGAAAAGTGTGAAATAAGACCAAAATTGCAGAAAAAAGGAACAAAAGCAAACAAAGAAGCTGGAAATAAATTGCAAAAAGGTAAATGTGCAGGAATGTAAATATGCTGGAATGTAAACGTACGACTCCTCACAACAGCGAACAACGACCACCGTCGGTCTCCTTGTAGCTGGTGTATGGCGCGGTGCAGGATTTATAGACATGAAGACCACCACCATTCTCCTCCTTTTACGGGCACTTCTTAGTAACTTCCTTCAACTGTTGATACCCATTATCCACGATTGTTTGTGATCGTGTTTGTTGGTTGGGGCTTTTTTCTTAATCGTTATCGTCCACGATCTCCTTTGTGTAGTGGTGTATGTTGATAATTGCTGGTAACCGCTTTTGGATTTTGTAATGACTTGACCTATCAAGATTCTTATTTTTCTATCTTTCGAGTATTTTTGGGAGAAATCTAAGAGACTCATTTAGTGTTATGACCTTAGAATAATTTCTTCTTGACTTCTCTTTTCGAGCAATTCTGGGGTTTTGAGAGCTTATCTTGGTCTTGTAGACTTAGAATATTTTCTTTGCTCATTTCTGTTTCTCGAGCATTTCTGGAGGGACTGGAGCTCAGCCATGTTTGTGGACTTAGAATATTTTCTGACCACTTCCTGTTTTTCGAGCAATTCTAGAGGGACTTTGGAGCTCAACCAGGTTTGTGGACTTAAAATATTTTCTGACCATTTCCTGTTTTTCGAGCAGTTTTGGGTATTAGGGACTCGAAAACTCCTCAAAACGCCTTGAAAAGCCATAAGTTTTTGTGGACTTAGAATATTTTCTTGTCAGTCCTGTTTTTCGAGCAGTTTTGAGTGTCAGTGACTTGGAAACTCCTCAAAAAAGCCCTTAGTTTTGTAGACTTAGAATTTTTTCTTGTTAGTCCTGCTTTTCGAGCAGTTTTGGGTGTCAGTGACTTGAAAACTCCTCAAAACTACTCGAAAAAGACTTTAGTTTTGTGGACTTAAAATATTTTCTTGTCTTTCAAGCAGTTTAGAGAAAAATCAACACTATGATAAAAATTTCCTAAAATAATTCGAAATATGTCCCTTTTAATAAAACTAAAAGTCTTGGATAATCTTTCAATATTCTCTTATGTTTAGTTTTATTTTTTTGTCTCTTTCTTAACTTTCAAAACTTGTTAAAATATAATTTCCCTCAAGATGATTTTTAACTTAAAAAATTTTCATTATCCCCAACAGTCATTCACATCAGCCAAAATACCGAATTCTATTGCTGCGCATCACATTATCAAAGGCAGCATGGAGACTCAAATTCATGTAATAAATAATGTTCTTTTGCATCGTTATTTGTCAAATCGACATGAGAATTTAGATTCACATGTCTGCACTCAGTTATTATTCATAATCTGACATTCTTCCTCATCCCTTTCTTTTTTACGAAAATCATGCTCCTCATTTAACTTACCCAAATACTCGAATTTAACTCGGTCACGAGTGGTATCATAATTTTTAGTTAAATTTATCCTTAAGGTTTTCTAAGTTGTGTCTAAAACACTACATAATACAAAATTAATAAATAAAACATTTTATTTAAAATTATAGTATTTAAAGCTATGTTTGATAACACAAATTTAATAATTTATTTATTTTTTAAATAAGCTAATAGAATGGTTTAGTAACCATAATATAAAATGAATTTATAAATTTTAAAAAACATGTTAAATTAACATTAAAACGATAATGACTTATAAATTTTAAATAAAAGGATGCATTTAGATAAATTATATATATATACACGTGTGTGTATATTAAGAAACTTATTAAAATAAGATGAATAAATTATGAAAATAAATTGTTTATAAACACTTCTAAACATGCTCCAAACTTAAAACTTACAGCTGTTAATAATTTTATCTTATTTTAACTTTTATTCCTTAAAATTAATTATATATCTAATATCATATTTTTTATTTAATTTTAATATTATGTTAATATAATATTACATATATTTTTATTTATTTAATATATTTTAACTAATCTTACCGAAAAATTCTAATTCCAATTCAATCAGTTACTTAGAGTTTACTATAAGTGTTCAAATATAAATGATAAGCTTTTAGCTTACTATAATTACAAGTTATAATTTCTTATTTGATTTTACTAAACAAAACTTTGATGCAATTAATACAAATCTTATTGCTTGCTATTACATGTACCTTAAAAAATTTGATTAGTTTAAAAGCAAGTGACAAATATATTTCATCTTTTAGCTATATCCTTTTCTTGTTTGTTTCAATAAAGCATGCCTTTGTAGACAAATAATTGACGATGACAAAGTAAGCACCAGCAATGACAACCCTGCCTTTTCGAATTTAGGCACAAAAAAGAAACGGCGTGCCACTCGGATTCACATGTAAATTTGATACAAATGAAAAGAAGGGATTAGTTTTAGCCATGCACAAGATAAGCAACCCAAAATAATGTCACCGTCAGTAGTTAAGTCTCCAAACTGCCACCTTAGAAATCTTGCTTCCGAGGGTCGTAAAGTTTTGTGAAATTCTCTGCTTCTCATGGTCAAATACATATAGTTTCGACATTGAAATTACTAAGAATCAACATAATTAATATATCAAATTATATATACACATGTCTAAAGAATACACAAAAATAGTACAATTGAGATGTACGAAAAAACATATTTGAGCGTATATTATCCCTCGAATTAAGCACGATTCTCTCGAGTCGCACCCACCTGTTGGAGCTGCTACGTGGGTTATAAATAACCAACCAAAACCGAAACTTTCAAATTCATAGTCCATTCATCTCACCTTCACACTAGAAATCGTGGTTGTGTTATTCCCAAAATGACTTCTCTTCACATATTGCCTCTACTCTGTCTCCTCTCTACCATCACCTTCACTTCATCATCCAACCCCAACACCATAACCATTCCTCTCTCTCCTCTATCCACCAAACACCCTTCTTCAGACCCATTCGAAACCCTCAAACTCCTAGCTTCTAACTCTATAACCAGAGCACATAACCTCAAAAACCACAAATCCCACGTCCTCAAAACCTCACTTCACCCAAAAAGTTATGGAGGATACTCCATTGACCTCAAATTCGGAACCCCCCCACAAACCTCCTCTTTCGTTTTGGACACTGGAAGCACCCTCGTTTGGCTCCCATGCTCCTCTCACTACCTATGCTCCAAATGCAACTCCTTCCCAAACACAACGCCCAATTTCATCCCCAAAAACTCTTCATCTTCGAAGCTCGTAGGTTGCACCAACCCCAAATGCGCGTGGGTTTTCGGCCCCAACGTTCAATCGCGTTGCCAAACCCAAAACTCCCGAACTTGCCCTCCTTACACCGTCCAATACGGCATGGGCTCAACCGCCGGTTTCTTACTCTCGGAAAATCTCAATTTTCCCGGGAAAACCGTCGCCGATTTTCTCCTCGGCTGCTCCATCGTGTCCATTTACCAACCCGCCGGAATCGCCGGGTTTGGTCGTGGCCCTGAGTCGGTGCCGTCGCAGATGAATCTCACGAGATTCTCCTACTGTTTACCGTCTCACCGGTTTGACGACTCGTCGGAGAGCAGCGACCTCGTCTTGCGAATTGGGTCCTCCGGCGACGGAAAAACTAACGGCGTCAGCTACACGCCGTTGGAGAAAAACCCGTCATCGACGAAGAATCCAGCTTTTGAGGTTTACTACTACCTTACCGTTAAGAAGATCGTGGTTGGAGAGAAGCGAGTGAGGGTTCCGAGGAGGTTATTGGAGATAGATGTCAACGGTAACGGTGGGTCCATTGTGGACTCGGGCTCAACCTTCACGTTCATGGAGAGGCCCATTTTCGATTTGGTGGCCCAAGAGTTTGAGAAGCAAGTGAATTACACAAGGGCTAGGGAGGTGGAGAAGGAATCGGGGTTGAGTCCGTGTTTTGTGGTGTCTGGAGGAGAAACGGCGTCGTTTCCGGGACTCACTTTTCAGTTCAGGGGTGGCGCCAAGATGAGGTTGCCGGCAACCAATTATTTTTCATTGGTGGAGAAATCTGACGTGGCGTGTTTGACCATCGTGTCTGATGACGTGGCGGGTCCCGGCGTGGCGGGTGGACCGGCTGTGATATTGGGGAACTATCAGCAGCAGAATTTCTACGTGGAGTTCGACTTGGAAAACCAGAGGTTTGGGTTTCGGACTCAGGGCTGCAAAACAAGCGTTTAGGATTTTAATTATTAGGATTCGGTTTAGTAGTTCGCACTGCTTGTTTTTACTTCTATTAGATTGAATTGAATTTCTCAAGATTAATAAATACTACACTAATGTCAAAAAGTCTCAAAAACATAGTATAAAGGCTACTTTTATATTTTTTAACCATATCACTTATTTATTCTCCTCTTCTAATTTTTCCTACCATAGTTTTTAGAAGTGTATCACTGAACATGGAAATCAATTCATCGATTAGGAATTACTCTATTTTAATCAGTAACTTAGAACTCAAATCATGATAATACAGTAACGATAAGTTTTGGCAACTGTTATGTGAAAAAAGAAACCCGCATAAATTACAAGATAAGGGCAAATTTTTTAAAAAGTCATATAGTTATACACTAAAAATATTAATTGTTTGGCGTATTCCTATAAGAATCATCTAATGCAAATTAAGTTGTACCTTTTCCTTTTATGAACAATCGATTCTTATAATTTAATTTATTGAGCATCTGTTCGTAAAAGATTAACCCTGAAAATGATAAGGTTATATATATATCAGAATTCATTGTCAATCTTGATATTGATGTTGAGAAAAGTAATGAGAAAAAAAAACACGAGAGGATCAAAATCTCTAGTGAAAGATATAATGTGTTATCACATATGCGGTTTTAGGAAAAATATAATTTAAGTTTATCAAACACTTCGTTGTCATGTTCTCTGTAGAGTGCTTAATTTATCAAGATCTTTGCTTTAATGGTTTCGTCTATGATTTGCATATGATTCCTAGAGTGCTTTATTTGTTCTCTATGCGCAATTATATTAATTCCTTAATCACTAATTTCTTCTTCCTTTACTCATGCGAGTAAAAAAAGGGGGCTTCTTTCCAAAAGGGATCGATTCCTAATTTAATGTTCTTTCGGAAAGTTTTCTTTCAAGGATGGGGAGGTAAAGCATTAGGTTATCTTTATTCTTTGTTCCCTTTTGCATTATTTTTCTTTTCTGGCGTTCCTCTAGCACTCAAAGAACCAACCCCACTTATTTGATGCATGTAGGCCAAAGGTAATATCATTTTGTGCTTGTGCATGATCTCACCAACAATAATGTAATGTATATCAAATTGCCGATTCATTTTTCACTAGTTTGTAGTCGTGACAATATTTACTTTTGAAAATGTATCTTGAACTTAAAAAAATAAACAGTAGTATATATATATATATATATATATATATATATATTTTAAAGTTAATATACTAATAGTTTTGAAAAATTATTGATCCTCTCAATATTGCAAGATAGTAGTTAAATATTCCGCGCGAGAGAAACAATAACATGTTAAGAATCTCCAACATGAGTATTATAACTGTATTCAAAATTCCTTCTCATTTCCCAAGTTTTCATCTGTCTTGCTTCTTTGGAAACTATTCCTTAGGTGATTCTCGTAGTAGGCAATACTCCATGTGTAGACGCAGATATTTCTTTAGCTATTATGTAATTTTGTCTTCAAAGTTTAGTCCATTAGATAAAAAGGTTGGATATTTTTTGTTTTTAAACAAATTGAAATTTACGGTGTGTGTTTAAATTTATGTTTACATTATTATAATTTTTATTATTACTTCTGTCAACTTTATGTCTATTTTAATATTGTTAGTTATTAGTTTTACTTCAAATTTATATTTATATAATTTTCAGCATATCTTTAAATATACCCATAATCCATATACTGATTTTCTACTAAAATTTTCATTGAATTAAATTTAACCACTGAGCAGCATTTATATAGTTTATATTTACAAGTTTGTTTTAATATAAAAAGTGAATTTTTTTTATTAATTATCTTCATGTTCTCCCAGTTCAACTGAAAATAGGCAATTGCATTACCCTAGATTGGAAGAATGAATTTTTAAGGTTGGGAAAGTAACGAAGATATCTCCAATCCTATTGTGTTGTGGTAGCAAGATGTTGAGTTGGATTTATTGCGCTATGGTGGGATGTCAGCGTCAGATCTAATTGGTTGGTAAAACACGAAGGGATGCTGGGAACTGAGTTTCACTAAATTGCTTTCAAGAAAATAATTGCACTCAAATCCATGCTAGAAAAAAGGAAAAAGCGTTGAAAGTGAAAGATTCCGATGATTTCAGTCTTAACAAGAAAAGGGTCTAAAATTGTGCAAAAAATGAGGGGAGGGAAAACGAAGGACGGATCACACGTGTTATTGAATAGGACCAAAAGTGTGTTTTGGACTTTTGGTGGGTTCCAAAAGTTGGAGGGTGCTGTGAAACTACTGAACTTGTGAGCTTCATTTGGACTACACTAAAGAGTGCACTGAAGAGAGAGTAGTGAGTGTCAGTGACATGATGCGTCACCAAAGTCATCATCGCTTATTGATAGTCTCGTTGCTTAAGATCTAAGTTTTTGAACACTTCAATTAGAATTCCATAGCGTTGGTTAAACACTTCAACTAATGTATCCTTTATTCATGTCAGGTGGCAAATGCCGCCAGGAAAAAAACAATAACACGGTTTTTATTTTCATTAAATTTCGATTTCTTGCAAACAGTGAGCTATAATTTACAATATGATTTTAATCATTTCAACTTTTAGACTTGAATTTAAGTATTTTAAAATAATTTTTAACTGAACAACAATATTTAATATATCATATATTTCTAAAGTAATAAATGTTTTTTTAAATAAATTTTGTCACTGTATTTATTTTAATATTTAGAGTTGATATTAATTTTAAATTTAAATATTTAACAGATATTTTAAATTTGGACATCTATCAAATCTTCTTCTTCTTATTATTATTAGACTTATTTTTGTAGTTTATATTTTAAAATATTATATTAGAATTTGAGTTTAAGTCTAAATAGAATACGAGAGAAAGTAATTAAATTTAAATTTGAATAATTTATTTATTTAAAATATTTTAATAATTTAATTTTATTATATTTTTACTTATATACCGTTATTATTGACCATTAACATTGGACTTTATTATCTAACAAGTTGAACTGCTTTCAATTATCATTTTGACATAGTTAAGTGAAAATACCAAGGTATGGACATTACATTGTTCAGGTAAGAAGATAAATAATTTATTTTTAATAAATTTTTAGAAATATTTAAAATAAAAATAATATATATAAATTATCATAAATATTATAAATCTCTTAATTGAATATTAGTTTTAATATTATTAGTATAATTTTTATATTATCAACTAATTAAAAATAAGCTAAGATATGGTTATTTAAATAATGTTTTCAAAAAGTAACAAATATAATTTTTTATTAAATAAAAATATAGAAACTTTTACATTATTAATATATTTTTTAAAATAAAATAATTAATATCTGTCGTTTTTCTTTTAAAATTTTACTCTGAAACATACCTTATAATTTTGTTGCTGTAATAACTACCAGACAGACATTGTAAAGGAACATAAAACGAGAGTGACATAAAAACCATAATTATGTCACTATAATAACATGCAGTAAAAGTGGTGTGAAGAAAGTGGGCATAATAGGGTAAGGCAAGGCCATGGTCAATGACGATTTACGCATGCCCTATATTTGGCTACACTGTATAAGTAAGTAGATGCTGCGATATGATTCTGGGGAGGTGAAGTTGGTGAAGAAAGAATGATGATTGAGTAGTTTCTAAATATGCTCAAGAAAGGAGAAGAGACAGTGCTTTGATTGCTTTTGCATGTGGCCATGAGAGAGATTGTACCTACTCTTCTCCTGTCCCATTAGATTCAATTGGTTTGCATTTTTGTGTGTTCTGATTTCTTATCCCATTTTTGTGAACCAAGCTTACCCTTATTTTTCACTGGAGAGTTACATCCAGGGAAAAAACCTTTTTGGTTCACCTTACTTTCAAAGTATTATTTTATGTTTTTATTTTCAGACTCACGACTTACATATTTTTTTACTAAGCCTTTTCAAGCTTATCACACATCCCTTAGTGTCAAAAAGTAATAAAAAAAATTAATATCAGTTAAAGATGTATAAAGATTGAACAATATATAACAGCTTTTGACTATCCTCTTAATTGCACAGAGGGTAAGCAACTAGCTTAACAAAACTTCGAAGAATAAATGAAAGAATAGAAGTTGACAAATAGCTTTTAACGTGCTCTTATCCTTCTTCTTCAATCTTCAGTTACTTTCTAATTATATGAAATCATGAAGGTGAAAAAATCAAAGTTATTTTTTGATCGAGTAAAAATAATTCAATAAAAAAGAAAAACGCAAAAGCTTGCGCGCAGCCACAGCAGTGCAGAAGGTGTAGAAGGGGCTTGACTTGAAGGTTATTGGGCTGTTTATTAGGCCACAGACCAATAAGTTATGGTATTGGTTTTTTGCCGATTTTATGAAATTTATTTCTTAATTTTAAAATTATTTTAAACTTAGTTAGGTAATTAATATTTAAAAATTTCATTTTTTTAATTTTAGTTCGTATAAATTTTTTTAGGTAATTTTAACTTTTATATTTAAAAAAAATTCAATTTTAGTCTTTTATTAGGAACTAAAACCATGAGGTTCTTCTTTAATTATTATTCATAGATTAAAATTGGATAACATTTTCATAAGAATTAAAATTAAAATTAATGATATTTTGAGGAACTAATTACTTAATTAAATCATCAATTTATTTGAAAACTAGTTTTTTTTATTTAACCAAATGGTAATATGTATTTATTTTTAATTGAGTCACTATTATTTTTCCTTCCAATAATAGATTTATTTGTATTATTATTGTTATTATATATATATATATATCATATTTATTTAATATTAGTTTGATAAAATTGTTTTATAAATTTTAATTTTTAACAAACTATATTATTCATAAAGATGTTTTATTTGATTTTAATATTTGTTTTAATAATTTTATTGTTAATTTAAATTTTTATATCTTTAATTTAATCTTATTTAATATAATAAATATGTATTTTTATAAATATTATTTAAAATTTTAAAAATGCCAGTAAACGGAACACATGTTAATAATATTTTACTCAATATATGAATTATTTGAGCTGACAAAAAAAAAAGGCTGACCTGATTAAGCTTAATAAATATTTAAATTTAATCTTTAAATTTTAGGCTTGAATTAATGTTAAATATTTTTATCTGACATATTCAAGTTTTTTTTTAATTGAGTTTTAGGCCGGTTCAATATATTTAAGTGTAGAATATTTTTTTTGGTGAAAATAAGGACATTTAAGCGTCGAATTAAAGTTCAACCTTTTACAAGGCTCAAATAAAAAGGAGAGTTTTTGGGCCCATTTCGAAAGAGCCGAAAACTCAAAATCTCTATAAAAAAAGACGTGGCAACTGTCTAATAAATTACGGATATTGATAAAAACGAACTTAAATAATTTTGAATAATTTAATAATATTATTATATAATTTTGATATGATAAATATTTTTAATAAAAAAATTATTTTGTTTTATTAATTAATTCCTTAAAATGCTGATGAGTGTTTGCAATATACACAGGTAAAACATCTCCCGAGGTTTGGAATAATTATAAAAAAGGTTCGTTTTTCTTAAATTTTTTTATATGTGCATGTTTAAATTCAGTCTTTAAAATTAAAAATAAACAATTAATAATAATAAAATTTTATTAAAAAAATTATTATTATATTTTTATAACTTTAAAACATAAATGTATAAGAGAAACACAGTTTTAGTAAAATGAAAATTTATTTTATTTATTTATGTCGAAGCCGAAAGATGCAATGTAAAAGAACATACAATTTAAGAGGTTAAAGGCTAAAATAGAATCCTCCTTGCTCTTCCAGGCAAGGCCACTATAATTCACAATTCACAGTCTTTTCAGCTTTCCGAAAGACGTAGCTCTGCATGGTTGGTTAGATTTTGAAGACTGAGTTGAAAGTTTCACACGTTGAAAGGTTGTTGGGTGGTTGTTCCTGCAACAACACATCACCAAACGGCCAAACCAAAACCAATGCAAATTGCACCAATTGTTTTCATTCTACAATGCAAAGCGCCAACACTGCTTCTTCCCCACGCTTCTCAATCTTCACATTCCACAGCGACATCTCATCACTCTCTTCCTTCTCATTTCATTTCTAACCGTCGCCATGTGGCGCTCTCTCTGGCGATCCATCGATCGCTTCTCCGTTCAACACTTCAAGTAAGTTCTTAATCGGTTCTCTCCTCATTGCTTCCTCCGGATTTTCTTCGTGAGGATTTGATGTGAGATTTTATGTTTTTTTTTTCATTACCTACTTAATTATTGGTAAATTTTGTGGACAAATTGAATTTCTAGCGTTCCTTTTGAGGTTTTTCTTGTTTTCAGAGCGTGGAATTGTTTCTTTTCAGTAATGATTTGAATTTTTGCGGTGCTCACGGATTTTTTTTGACGTTGATGTGGTTACAGATATGTAATAAATGAACTGCAGCAAATCAAAGTTGTGCATGAGCATAACAGGGTAACATGAGTCATTTTGTTTGTGTGTCCTCTTTTCCTTGGAAAAATTCGCAATGTACTTATGCATAAGAAATCTCGCAGGAGTTTGTGATGGATTTATTGCAGTCTATTGTTGAGATTGTAACTTATGGTGATAGACAAGATCCGTTCATTTTTGAGTATGAATCTATCGTGGAAATTTCATTTTTCTGGTGTTGCTCTTATTTTCTGGATGTAAATTTGATTGTTGTGACTGGTTTTAAATATTTAGATGTTTCATGGAACACCAAGTGCTGGCGGAATTTGTTCGCATACTGAAGATCAGTCAAGATTCAAAAATTGAGGCACCACTGCTTCAGTATCTGAGCATAATGATTCAAAACATGGATAGTGAACATGGAATTTGTAAGATGGTTAATTCTTACCTATGTGTTTGGTTACGCTCACTGACTTCATGGTTTTACCTGGTTATGCATACTTAATATATATCTGTACGAAATATTCATATACAAAACACAGTGCTACTCTTTGATCCTTGTCTCCTTGCCTCCTTGCCTCCTTGGCTTAGTACTGGTACTTAATATGTGTATCATATTTGCATGGTGCAGACTATTGCTTCAGCAATGGTTATATCAACAGCATTATTTCATATCCCTACAATTTTGATGGGGGAGACCTTGCTCCATATTATGTTTCTTTCCTAAGGTTAGAATCCTTTCTTCCTTTCCTTTGAATCTCTCTTTATCTCTCAACATTTGTTGCATGTTTCCTTGCTGATTGAAGACATGCAGTTATATGTTCTACATTTCTTTCCTCCTTTTTCCTTCTTTATTTTAAATAACACGGGAAGAGTGGAAATTTTGTTTCACATAGTTCTTTCTTTTCTGCTATAATAATTTACAGAACAAAGTGACTTCTTTGTTTTTTTGTTCATTCAGGGCAATTAGCGGTAAAATCAACAGAGACACACTTTGCCTTCTTGTGAAGGTTCAAAGGGTAAGTTAAAAACATATAAATGTATGTATAGGTCAACTCCTATCTGTTAAATCAAAACCATTATCTTCTGATTTTGTGTTCCACTTACTAGGCAACAGTTGTTTAACTTACACTAATAGGCATTTTATTTCAGCAAATCAATAATCTCATTAGCAAAGATAATGTAATATTATCTTAGTTGGGAAAGATGTTGGATAAAGTTAGATACTTGCTTCCTGCATTATATTGGTGGTTTGAGAAACCTGTTACCACATGTGAATGCAGAATGAAGAGGGGGTGGGGGGGAACAAATCATTATCATAAGTTAATTTGTTGGATATGCAAGGTTGGTTCTTTTTGTCCAGCAGAATTCAGCAGAAGTATTTTAAGGTTCTCTTTTTTTTCAACATTCAACTGCAGGATGATGTAGTCTCCTTTCCCTTGTACACTGAAGCTCTAAGATTTGCTCAGCATGAAGAAAAAATGATTCAGACAGCTATTCGGGCAATAGTTCTCAACATCTACAATGGTATGCTTCTGGTCTTTGAATTGCTTAGAAGTTATAACCTGCTTTAATGAAATATTTTTTTTGAAGTTTGCAACATTTTTATCTTGGTTCTACAGTTAGTGATGACATGGTCTATCAATTTATATCGACTCCTCCAGTTTCAGAATATTTCTCTGATCTAGTTCTTAGATTAAAAGATCTATGCTTTCGCTTAGATGCTTTTGTCTGTGACAAAGGGTATGCTCACTGTTATATTTTTATCAAATATAATTGTTGGGGTACTTGAGTAATTCTAACTTCTACTGAGCTAACTGCTCTTCGTTGAAGCAGGAAGATGGACACTCAAAAAAGAAGAAATGGGCTGATGCTTGAATCTGATAAAATTGTGGATGAAATGTATTTCTTTAAAGACATTCTTAGTGTTGGCGAGCCACGACTGTCTAGATTGGTTACGGAAAATCTTCTGAATGGACTGGTGTTTCCTGTACTATTCTCATTACTGGCTTCAAAAAATAAAATTGTGAGATGAGAAGATTTCCTGACCATTAATTTTAATTGCTCTTTGCTTTGTATCATCCCTATATTGATTTTAATGTTCAAGTCTGTTAATTATGATAGGGTAGTTCCCTCCAATTCATGAATATTTCAGGATTTGGCTCCTCTAATCTGAGGAGATGTGTAATGTTAGAAACTAAGAGTGTATCCACCTTTGATTGAAATGTGTTAAGTGTATTAGGTACTTTAATTAAAATTAAGGTGAATGCATCCCTACTTTCTCTCTTTATTCACCTTCTCTCTTTAGAGGACCTCAATCCAATATTTTATCTTTAGAGTATGATAGAATGGGAATTTCCCCACTTGGTATTCAATCCTTATTTTTCTAAAATCCCTGTGTTTTGTTTTTCTTGTAATTGCAAAGAGAGGAGAAAATCATCATTTTAAATTAACCAAAATGTTCCACTTCTTACTTTTAAGTAGTTCATTCAGTTTTTAAATTTGAAAAGAGAGAACTGTCACACCATCATATTTAACCCCCCCCCCCCTGCTTGTATTTTTCATGCTTCTTATAGTTTGCTAATAAGAATATTGAACAAGAATATGTTATGAAAGGAAAGAAATATGAAAAAAAAATTCTTGGTGGAAACTCTTGCATTTCAGTTGCTTGTCATAACACATGCATTTTATTCCAATTTTTTTTTCCTACATGATGTACTCATTAAAAGAACATATTCTTTGCCCCAGGGATATGATTTGTCTGCTATTACTTCACTATATATCATATCACGCCTTCTTCAAGTTGTTGGTGGAAGAAGCATAATTAACAATGTGGCTGGTGTTATCCTGTATTATTTTCTGAACATAAATGTGAGAGTTCTGAGTGAAGGGAATGATGCTTCTGATGTCCATGATGATGTTAAGCCCTTTTCAAATTGCTTATATGAAGTGGAAAGAATTATATGTAATGCTTCTGAATCAAATGGATCAGAGAGTATCAATAGGACCTATTTAAGTGGTGGTTGGGAATGTTTCATGTCTAGTTTCAATATTAACAGCTCAAATGGTGAAATTTGTTCCAAAAGGTTGGTAATTTATCATATTCTGTCATTATCTTTTATTTGTAACTTTCATCATAGATTTAGTGTTGAGACACTTTTGTTCTATCTTCTCTGTTGTCCACCTTTGGTTTCTATGATTCTATCTATATGCTAGTAGAAAGACCCGGGTGGTGCAGGAGATAAAAGGAGAAACCATATGTGCTATTAGAAGGATCAGGTTACAGGGTGGATAATAATTGTTGATAAATGAATTTGCAAGATTAAAAGCAATGTTATAGAAAAAATGTAGCTGATTGATTTCATAGTTTGTCTTAATTTTTGGCTTCTGGTGTCCATTGATTAAGTCTTGAATTATTTGATCATCAACGATTCAACATGTTAATATATGATTATGTAATTATGCTTTTGGGATGCATTCTGTTTTTCCTCCTTTTCTTATAAGCTTCATGTTTTGTTAGAGTTTTGATGCAATGATAGATATATATGCATGAGAAAACTAGATCCCAAAATAGTTGAATATTGTATATTTAACGATGTGATTTTCTTTTTGCATGGTGATTTAATGCTTTTATATCTTCATAAAGTCCACGTTCTTTAATAAGAAGGGTTTGCAATGCAGCTCCTGACATCGGTAGGAAGCATCTATCAAGGGAGATCATTCATGTGATCCTGTTGTATATAAATGTACACATCATGAAATTTCTGTTGTTGCAGGAATGGAATGCTTGCTTTTGTTTTCTGCGAGGATCACAACCTATTGTTAGCTTTCATATTTCTCTTGCTTATTCTGACCGAAAGTAAAGGTAGCATTGTTCAGTTCATTTATGTAGCCTTATAGTTGTCTTTTAGTAAGTCATTGAATTATTTGTTGTTTGTTTCTTTGTCATGCAAGTTTTGCAGATCTTGATTGTCTCTTATCTCCAATGTCGGGGCTATATGAGATGGGGGATGTCATGGTAAGTAATGATGATCACATTGATTTAAATTGAAGAGGATCAATTTTCAGAATGGCATATATTGTAGCACATCTACTACCATAACATAGAATAGTTTATTCTAGAAACAAAATATTTTTTTTTCTCAAAAATTGCTGGAGTTCTTTAACCGTGCTGGAATAGAAGAACCACCAAACCTTTTTCTCAATACTAGGTGGTGTGATCTATGTGGATCAAACAATGCCATAGTGTTCTATACTTTTATTCTGTATCATGTCTATTGACAAATCATTCATCTCTAAATCTTTCTTAATGGTTTTGCCTATAATTTTGGTCTTCCTTTATCTCTAGCAATAGGATGACCTTTCATTTGATATACTCTTTTTATTCATGGTTCTACAAGTCTTCTCCACACTTTAACTGTGCCCTAATGCCTATAATATAGAATCATGAGCTTGCCTCCATTAATCCTTGAATTGATGCCTGCTGTTACTACTTACTTCCATGTTGATAGGCTTGAGGTTGATAAGCTGTTGTTCTTTTTATTTTGCTTTAAAACCAGTTTTGAAGACCACATGGATTTATTGGTAGGAAAATTGAAAAAAAGGAATCTCGAGCAAAAATATTTGTTGTTTAGTAACATGTAACTACTTAAGTGGTTAAGAATAACTGATTACTCATTAACAACACCTCAAACATTGGTAATCAGTTGAGTGATTAATTATTCCTAAACTTAATACATTTTTACCTAGTTGCATTTCCAGTTATTTTCTCTCGATTATTTAGTTGAAACCTGTTGGTTTTGGATGCATTATATGCCGTATAATTTCTTTTCCTTTCTTTCTCTCTATCTGTTTCAGTTGCAGACTAATGATGCATCAACTTCTAAGTCTGTGAATGAAAGTATCTTCATTAGATTTATGCATGAGGTATATGTAACATAGTTTTTGATTGGCTCGATCAAATTATCCTTTATTATTGTTTTGTTGTGTCAATTTAGTAGAATCAGGTTCCATATAGCATTTGGAATGATACCAAAATTACTATCTCCTTTTAAATTTGACAGATTTTAAATGCCCTGCTAAATGTTTTAGCCTTCGAGCAATCCCTTTCTATAATGATGCTATGGCATGCTGGGTGGTGCTTGCAAAAGCTACTTAACTTCCATAAAGAGAGACTTAACAGTGATAATCTTCTCCTTTTTACTGTAAGTATTCAACAGCTTCAGCTAATTTTCGAACACACTATTACAAGTGGATATCTGCCTGTGTGGAGATGTGTTTTTCATGTCAAAAGTGTGGCCAAGTGAAGAAATTAATGTCCTACATTTTAAGATGTATTGATTTTTTATGCTTGCTTACCTTTTGATTATTTTTCTGTCTGAAGGTTTAGCTCAGGATAATTTATTCATTACTGTCTATAGTAAAGTCTTGAATACTATCCGGGCATCTTATCATAGTAATTATGTAAAAGAAGTGTATCATCAAAGTCATGACCAGATTATAAAATCATTTAAGTTGCAAGATAAAAAAAATTCTCCCAATATTTTAGGACTATAGGTTCTGCTGGTGCCTACAGGTTATTATTATGCATGTTGCTATGTCTGTGTGTGTGAATGTTGTGTAGGTTTTTAATTACTTAATAATTCTAGAATGATACTGAACAGTACATAAATTAAGATAGGATTGCCTTCAAATTTTGTAAAAGTTATTGTCATGAACCATTTTTTCCTAAAGCTCAAATTGATAAAAGAAAAATGCATGAATTCTTTTATATTACTAGCATTGCAAATGTCCTTTGGGGTTGAAATGTGGGCAATGCAGAGACACACCTATCTTGTGCTGAAATGCAATTTTTTATTGAAAGAATGAGAGTGCCAAGAATCAAACTTTACACCACTTGGTCATAGATGTCAAGAAAATTTCATTTTTCTGATTTATTTGGTTCTGATCTATTTCATGTATAATACAAATACATTTACAATAATTAATGACAAATTAAATCTAATTCTTTATTTATACAACCTAAATTAGGAATTTTAAATATATATAATTAATAGGCTGATTCCATTTCTAATTGATATAACACATAATAGGAAAAAAAGTAATAACAAATGTAATAATAAATTCCCTGATTAACATTCCGCCTTAAATTGATGAGGTAAACAAGAAGCATCGATTTGATGACATGGACAAGGAATAGCATTGGTAAAAATATTTGTAAGCTGAATTTGTAAAGTGAGATGGGGAAGACTGATAACATGATTTTCAAAGACCTCACAAATAAAATAGCAATCCACCTCAATATGCTTAGTGCCCTTACAAGAAGTATTTTAGTTCTATTCTTAGTCAATTTGGGACATCTTAACACAACTCTTTGAATTTGACCTTTATCTTCATTGATAAGGTCTTTTTTTGAAGCTCCTTTGACATATTGTGAGATACAAATAAGTGCATTCCAAAGTTCTTCATGAGGCATATTGAGGAATTGACTTACTACATTTGTTGCAAATTAGATATCTAGATGAGTAGTTGTTAGATAGTTCAGTTTTACAGCTAACCTATTTCTTCTTGGATATGAAAGGGCCCCCCTTAAGGTGTTAGGAGTTTAGTATTTGGATCTGTGGGAATGATAATTGACTTTTCACTAAAGGACTAGGTTCTTCAAGAATGTCCATGATATACTTCCTCTGTAAAATTATGTTATTCTTGGGTTGTGCTACCTTTATTTTCAAAAATTATCAAAACTTGCCAAGGTCTTTGGTCTTAAAGTGATGACCAGTATACTTTTTTTTTTTTTCTCTAATTGTTGTTGACAATGCAAACACAATCAAGTTATACAAGCTTGTGCTGAATGACAATAAAAGATAGTCATCACCTCCACTTGGTCACATTGAACTACAATGTTAAATAAGTCAAGCCAAACTCAAGAGATTGCTTAAGGTTGTACCAAGATTTGTGAAAATCACATAAACCATGACAACCAACTCACCCTGAGAAACACATTCTAGGATTTATTCCATATAAACTTCTTTAAGATCACTACGAAGGAAACCCTTCTTAATATCCAGCCGATGATTGGGATGTAGCAATAGCAATATAGAAATAGGTGAACGAAAGTCATCTCATATACCATGTTAGGTGATCACACTTTAATGGTCTTATGTTACATCTCTTATATTTATAAAAGAATTATGGTATACATGTCTTTTAGTGACTAGTACAATAAAAAAAATGAAAATAAAAGGATTGTTGAGCTATGCTTGACATGGTAATGGATTATTTTGTTGTAGATATGTGGTTGACTTATACATCTTTAGTTTTGGAAGTAAAGATTGATTTATCCATGTTATTATAAGTTTAATAGTACCAATTACGAAATTGCATAAATGTATTCAAATTTTCTAAAATTTTATAATTTCTAGTTTTCATCGGCAGACTTCATATGATCGGTCCCGTGTAAACTTTCTGAAGGAAATTGATGGAGTTTGGTTTGATCATATTCCAGATACTCTAAGAACAGAATGGACAAGCTGTAAAAGAGGTATTTATTACTTTGTTCAGTTTGAGATTGAACAAAATATGTCTCTATTCGGTAACTTGGTTTTTGAACAGTTAAAAGTAAGTGTCATATATGGTCAACATGGATGAACAAAGCACAAATTTTGTAATTAAAAAATAGGAAAAATCAGGATGGTTAAATTCTTGTTGAATCATTGAAATTTTGGTTTTTGATAGAGTCTAGTGGCTTCGTTTGATCTAGGTAGCTAAGCCCATTTGTTGGGACCAGGATTGGTTGTGGTTATTATTGTTGCACTACAAATATGAAGTTGTCTTAACAGTTTCTATTTTTGTTTTCTCTAATGCTCATCTCTCGTGTTGCTTGCAGCTCTTGAGCAATCTTCCCAATATAAAGATCCATTGTTTATGTTAGAGCTTCTTCTTCACCAACAATCCAGCAATGGTATTGTCATGTACTCATCTTTACACGAACAAATGGCCTCTTCTTCAATGGATTAGTATTTTTCTCTTAACATTGAATGACACCAAGTGCTATTTGTGATTTCATTAAAAGTAAATGACTGTCTATGACAGGTGAAACATCTCCATCTTTTGCCTGGAAAAGGATGGTTGATACAGTGAAGGTATTGTCATTTGTTCTTTCCAATTTCCATTCAGATTAGTCATAATATTTTGTTATGATCTCTTTTTAGTTTCTATAATGCACTGAGCTGGATGTTCATTTTCAATATGAGGATAAGAAGTTTAAGAGAAATTGTACTTTGTTAGTGTTGGACATATTTACAAGTACATCTAAGAGCTAGTGCTCTATGCACGTTTTTGTGAATGAGATATAGTGCGTAATAGTTGATTATTCAAAACAAAGGAGACATTCTAAGCTTAAGTTTCTGGAGAGAAGCTTGAAATACTTAATGCAAGTCCAACAAGACATGACTTAACTATGATTTAGAGGTGAAAATTAGAGATTGTCACATCACGTTACATAATGCAGGCATCTTTGGGTCTATATTACAATGTGATAGGCATGAAAAGTGCCAACAAGAGTAAGTGACATAAGGATCGATTATTGTTATAATAGCTTAAATGTTTGTTCTTCTGACTGTCAAATGGTGTGCAATATGACAACATGTCACACCCTTGTTACTTTAAAGTTGACTTGATAAACTTCGTATCACCTCCTTTTCTTTGTGTATTCCATTGCAAGATCTACGGAACTTAAATATAGTGTTATGTATTTGGCTCCTGCACTTTTCTTTTTCTCGTTTTGTTATACATCATTATCTTTACAGCTGAAGTTTTTGCAGTTTTGGTGGGGGTTTAATCAATTGATGACCTTTCTTGTTTAACCAAAACGTTATATTTTTTTCATGATTATTTCAGTTGCCACTGTTAACTATTTCATGCTTTTTGTTGCTTCTTCTTTAATACTCCTGAAAAAGCATACTTCTAATACCAGCTATTTATTCAGGCTTTTATTCTCCACTTCCAGTTGAAGACATTTATTTTCGAAGATGTATTGCTTGAGAAGCCATTATTAAACATGATTGCCAGTTCTACCAATGGTTGTGGAGCTATCTGTGCTTCAGACGTTTCATCTGCTAGCTTTGGGTCCAATATTTCTTTGGGTAGGCATCATTATATTTATACTTGGTTGTGACTCTGGCAAAATTTTTTTTTTAAATTTCTAATCCTATATAACCTTTGCAGAATCTGGAATCCCTTGTGGAATTGCTTTTTCAAATTCTGAAATTAGGGATATATATGTGATACCAGTGGCAAGTGGAATAATTGGAAAATTTCTTCTCGCAGAGAAACACCCATTTCGCAGTCGACATGGAGTTGTAATTGCAATTGCTCCATTGGCTGGGTTATGTGTAAGTTGATGTTGAAGTGACTTTTTGCAGCTTAGACTTAGCTTTGTAGGATTTTATGATGTTAGTCTGATTATCTCAGAAAAATAATCATGTGAAGATACTAATTATGGTCTTGTTTTTTATTGCTTGGTTTTCAAAACTGCTGCTTCTTATCCTCGAATGTTTCATGATAGTCTCATGAATACAATGCTCTATACTCTTCTGCCACGCAATACATGTCTTAAATATATCTCAGGCAGAGAGATATATGCAAATAGAGTGCAGTCTTGCATTATGGATCCTGTTGATATTCACTCTTTTGTGTGTTTGTTTGGATGTGTGCACTTGGGCTTTGGATAGGTTTGCTGAACTATCAACTGTACTAAAATTTAAACCAAAAGAGGAAAATCTATCAACAGTTTAACAACTTAATTTTTGCCATGTCAGATTTTTCCTTTTTAAAACTTAAATAGAAAACATAGAAAAAAGTCTAACTTTAGCCATTTAGTGTGGGGGAGGGGGGTTTGATATATTTTGATCAATTCATCGTGTTTCGATTTCATTAACCTCTTATACCTGCTTGATACAGCCTAAGATAGATGAGGACCACCCCTCATGGTTGCATCTTCGAATTAGAGAGTTTGACCCACAGTTTTATACAATCAAAGCCAGAAGAAACCACTTGAGCATGCCTGATCAATTGGCAGATGGGAGATGGACCCTTGGTTTCCCAAATGCAAAAGCTTGTGAGGAAGCTCAATTAGCGATTCTGAATGAAATTACCAAGCAGAGGTCAGCCGTGGAGTACATGCTGGCTCCGTTACTTCAGTATGATCTTGAATTAGCTGAAAGCTGAGGTAGGTAATGTTGTAGCAATGAGTTACTGTTGGTTAGTTCGCATTTTTCCCTCTTTCAATTATTGTATTTCCCCTTTCCTTTGTTTTACTTGTTTTATTGTTTCTTTTCTTTATATTTTGGTTTTATTAATAGAATAAGGTAGCTTTGTATATTATTAGGGTACATTATTTTATACTATTACTGCCAACAAGCGAACTTTTGAAGCATACTGAATGTAATAATTAATATTAAAGCTTATAGTATGTCTAGGTAGTAAATAGTAATATATGTATGTCTGATTTCATGTAGCAATGTGATCGTTTGTGATACATGACACATAGTTCTCTAATTCATTTAATTTTGATTGTTATTTTAATTCCTTATGGATTACTGGCAGCTATTTTTACGCACTTTATGTTTACTTCACCATGTTAATGCTAGGATAGATTTTGATTCTTGCATCTCAATTTGACTTAGTCATTGAGTGGTTGTTATGTTGGATCTTCAACTAACGATTAGAAATGCAGAATTCAGGTAACGAAAAATATGATTAAATATGGTTGTAGTTCCTATAAAATTATTGAAATTTACTTAAAGAAATTAATGTAAAATATTCATAATTAATTCCTATGGTTACTCAATTTTTCTTAATCGTTAATTTGATTAATGAAACTTCCTGTCATCAATTTGTTCAAAAAGGCTAAATATAATTGCAGTCCCTGTAAAATTATCGAAATTTATTTTTAGTTCTTGTAAATTTTTTTTAATTTTAACTTAATTTTAAAATAAAATATTATATATAATTTTTTTAAAAATTATTATTAAAATCATTTATACTACAAATATAAAAAATATGTAATTTTATATATAATATCAAATTTTCATATATTAAAAGAAAAAAATTACTTAAATAGCAAAAATAGAATACATACATTTGGTAACATATAAAACCTATAACTTTAATATATAAATATTCACAATATCAATATTGATTTAACACCATATTATACTACATCACTCGTTACATTTATTGCATATTTATAAATTTTTTCCTATCTTTCTCCAAGAAATTTTGTTTTCAAAATAATTTCTAAAATTAAAGGTTTTCTTTTTGTCAAGTTAAATGTGAAACCATCTGTATTGCTTGATATATCAAATGAATTTTTGGAATTTTATGTTTTTGTAAGTTATAATTTAGTATTTTTATTATTTGATATTTTGTATTTTGTATTTTTTTATAAAATTAATAAATAATTCTGTTTTTACATTTCCATTCTTAATAGTTAATGTGTTTAGTTAAAAAATCTAATTTTTATAAAAATAATTAATCTAAAAAATTAAATTTAAAAACGGTCATCTAATAAATTTAGTAAAAATATTTTAATTAAATAAATAAATATTTACTTTACTAATTTAGTAAAAATGGTCATAAATATTTTTATACCCCTATTTACTTTACTAATTCATATTAATTAAATAAATGATAAATATAAAATTTTGAATAATATTTTTTAAAATTACTATGTAAAATTTAAAAATATTAAAATTAAATATAATAACATATTAATATTTTTAAGTTTATATGACTGTTATTTCAAATAAGCATTCATTTACTTTAAATAATGATAAAATTTTAACTTTTAATATCAGCTCTCCAATTTAAGTTGATTTGAATGAATAATTAAAGATGAATATCCTTTTTAAAATATTTTTACTAAATTTATTAGATGACCGTTTTTAAATTTAATTTTTTAGATTAATTTTTTTTATTAGCTATATATATATATATAATGTTTAAATTAAGTAGAGAATTTTTTATCGGCACTAAAGTAAATTTAACAATTTAATGAAAATTAAAAACATATTCAGAACATAAAATTTTGTTGGTCAAATAAGTGATTAACAAAAATTGAGTAATTATAAGGACTAATTCTAATTTTTTTTTGGATTAAAACATGATAAATTTTACATGAATTTAAAATATATTTAACCTTAAAAAATAATGAGTGTATAACTTCACTGGGAATGTGTATATGCTGAAGTAAAAGATTTTGAAAATGAATTTCATTGTCTAAAGAGAAGGATAAAAACAGTACATAATATCTTACAAACTCCCTACTACGTGTCAGTAATTTGCTGTGGTAGATAGTAACTTATTCTACACTTAATAATAGTAACTTCTATATTTTGTCTCAATAACTTTAAATATATGTTAGCAATCAAACATTTAAACATTGATGAAAACGTTTCAATACAAAATAACAAATTACCATAGACTGAGGCATAAATTACTAAATATAGAGGTGGGAATTTTGCACTATTTTTGTGTAGAAAGCAGACAACATTATAAGCAGGTATAGGATTAATCAAACTTTTATCCAACCCATCTTAGGCTTACAACAACTTGCATCTTTTTTATATGAGGTGGCCAATGCTGTTAAAAATAAAGCACTTAAGCAAGACTGGACTGAAGATTGAATATGTGCTTTGAGGCCAACATGTGTGCGACCAACCCAGCATAGTTTGGTGCCAACAGCAAGGGAATTTCTTTTCGCATCTTCCAATTTTTTCTACTTACAACCGCTTAAATCCTTTTGTTATTCTGAAAATTAAAATTTCAAAGTAATTTGTACATTGTTTTTTAAATTGAATTTTTGGAAGAAAGTTTAATATTTTTCAAAAAAAATTTTATAAATTATTTTTGAAATTTAATTTCTAGAAGAGTATTTTATAGTTAAATTTCTAAATAAAATACGAGGGGCGTAAAAATAAATGCCCCAACGATCAAAGTCTTCTCTCTCTATGGAGCCATTTCTCATGCCGCTTTGGGCCTTTATTAGCTGGCTGATCCTCTTGAAGTTTTATATCTGCGTAATTAGATTTTCGCTTTGCTTGTTTTGTTTTGTTTTTTTTTCCTTTTCAGTAAAAGAAAATCTCTGTACCAAGATAAAATTTTGAGGAGGAAACGATGCTTTGAAGGGTGAGTTATAAGATCGGTTATACAATTAAATTGGTAATAATTAAATTGAATTGGAATCGAGTTAATGGGTTGAAATGGTTTCTTAACATATGAAGTACAAATATTATGGCAATTTTATTTAAGGCTGATGTTTGAATTCATGATCTAATAATTAATTCAAGTAACATTCACAACTCCAGAATTATACTTTATTTAAAGTTACACAGACTCACGAGACACATTTAGTGAGACAGTAATGTTCATATGAGAACAGAAGTAAATAATTTGAATCCTACAGTTATAAATTTTAAATCTAATATGATTATGATTAAGAGTTAATTAATTTTTTATAATTGACTTTAAAAGGTACGTGAATTTCTATGAATTTTGTATTTTCATCTATTATTTATGATAAGAATCAGATTTATTTTTCTTATTACTGTGAAAGTATTTATTTTTTCATTTGATACGCTCTTCCCTCTCTCTTTCTATATACATGTGTGTGTTTAACTAGTCAAAGTTAAATAGATTCATTTTTATGATCAAATTTTGGTTGAAAATTATTTTTACCTTTTATTTTTTGCCTTTTTCCTTACCCTTTCTCACCTTTTGCTTGCTCAACCAAAATATGTCTAACCTTAATTTAAATAAATTTATCAACAAATATTTATAATAGAAGAAAATAAAAAGATAAAAGAATAATTTTTTTATTAATTAAAATTAACTTACGCATATGATTTTTTAAAAAGTTAGATATAAAAGTTTTTAATTAAAAAGGTGAGTATATATTAGTTAATTTTAATTTATACAAAAAATTTATTTTTTATTTTATAAGTATAATTGAAAAATTTATCTAAACTAATTCTAACCTTCTAGGAAGGCAACAAATTTTGAGCTTGAGTTCTTTATTAACACTCAAAATTATATGGAATTGTTCAAGTTAAATGGGTTGACATACAGGTCTAACTCGTTTTGTTATCTCTCTAATTATTTTTATAACTATATATTTTAAGCAAAAAGTGTCATTTTCTTTAATGCAAGAACACGTTTCAATACGGAGGATTTTAGCAATGTGCTTTTCTGGATACATTCACATTTTCAATGAGTGGTCAGTTTTTTAAAAATTTAATAATTTTTAAAAATATTAATTTATGAAGTAAGTACTTCAACTTTTTAGATATATTTATTGTCACGACTATATGTTTACGTTTAATCTCTTTTAAATGATTTTTGTTTAGAAGAATTTTTTTTCTCTATATAATCATTTCAATAGTAAAGATATATTGTAAATAAATAAATAAATTGAAGTGACAAAATACACTGAGTGACTTTTCTACAAAAATCATATTAATTATAAAGAGAATGTCAAATAATGTGTTTGCAAAAGTATGTTATTGACAATTTTTTTTCTACATAAATACCAGAATTTATGTGAAAATCTATCTGGCAATCAATAATAGAGAAATATTATTTATTTTTAATATTTCAGCTTATAACTTTTTTATTCATATACAAATAATACATGTCTTATATAGAGAAAAAAGGTAAAAAAAAATGCTAACTAATATATATTATTTTAAAAATATCACTTTTTTGGGAGTAAAAAGGTGTACAGGCTTAAATAACATAAGAATATAACATTTTCTATATATTATTGAGGTTTAATCTGGTTTTAATAAGCATTTGTCTCATTTACCTTTTGTTACAAAGGAGGACATGGCATGGCATTGACATTAAAAGGCCGCTAAGGCTTTAATGCAAGGTTTAATGTGAAGAACTCAGAACTCAGAACTCAGTAGGGTGGCGATTTTAATCGCCATTACACTATCTTCAAGTGCATGCTGAGAAAGAACATTTTTTCAAAAAAGAAATTATTTAAGTTTTTCTTGAAATGTTAATAAAAACAAGTGATTATTTTAAAAAACAATTGAGTCAAACAATCATTAAATGTATTGTATATTTCTATTAATTTATTTAATATAAATTAAAAGATGCAACTAATTTTCCTTAACATTAATCAAACTTCTAAAATAAAAAGCTAAAAAATGAATGTTTGGGTTTATACGTAGACTGTCACAATGGGCACTTGCAGATTCACCCACTACGAAC